ACAGAGACCAAAGGGAGGAGGTGAGGGGATGGGTGAAAAGGGGGAGGGGAAGATAGTCAATAATACTGTGAAAAGTTTACATGGTGAAAGATGATTACTAGAATGAGTGGGGTAATCATATTGTAAGGTATAAAAATGTCGAATGACTATATTGTACACCTAAAACTTCAATAATATAACTAATATCAGATTGTATGCCAACTTAAACTTCAAAATATTTTTAAATTAATTAATTAAGGATATTGAGATGGGAAGAGTATTCTGGATTATCCAGATGGGCCCAATTCAATCTAATCACGCAGATCCTTAAAATCAGAGACCCCCTTCTTAGATTTGACTACAGAAAAATCGTCAGAGGGAAGATGGAGGAAGAACCAAGAGCAAAAGAATACTGGCAGCCTCTGGAAGCCAGAAACGGCCAAAAGCCCGGACTCATTGATTCCAACCCAGGGTGACCCATGCTGGGTTCTGCTCTACAGAAGCATAAGACAAACTTGTGTTGTTTCACAACACTAACATTGTGGTAATTAACTGCAGCAGCGATAGAAACTAATACAGGGGAGGAAAGGGGGTAAATCACTTATAGTTTTATATCTTATTTACTACATGTATATTGCTTTTATTTGAACTCTTATTTAGTTGAGGAGAAAAAGAAGAAATTCTTTGCCCCGTTTCTAAGTCATGATTCCCTGACTACAAAAGCTTTCACATAGCACTTAACTCCTTCTGCCTGCAAAATCTAGGCTTTCTCTCTTCTGCAGAGAACAAAATTCTACTTACACACAGAGGCTAACTCAAGTGTCATCTCTTACGTAAGGGCTTCCTGCTGAGGGGTCTCCCCTGAGGCTGAATTTAAGGGAGCTGCACATAGCTTGGTCCACCTGCTTTCTGGTGGACTACTTGAAAACAGGGCTTGAGGCTCATTTGCTTCTGCAAACCCAACACCTCATAATAGGCATGACTTGGTTAATAATTACTAAGTGTTTGCTCAGCTGAAATGACTACTGGATAGCATTAAAGCCAAACCAATCAAATAAAACTCAGTTTTAAGTTAACAAGAAGATTTCTGTTGGAGGAAAAAACTGTTGTTAGTTATCTCATATGCATTATCCAGATCCCATAAAAGTAAAAGTTATATCCTTCAACTCCGAAAATTATAGCCAAGAGATCAGAGTTTAAATCTTCTTTCAAAATCAAATTTTACAGAGAGAGTTTTGATTATCAAGAAACACTGCTTCAGAGCTCTACCACTTTAAATTTCCGGTATTAATCTTCCCATTCCTGCTATAAGCATGTGTGAGCTACATTTAAATTAGACTACCTGCTGAAGTGCTGAAATCATCCCTCCCTCCTACCAATCAATTGTGTTGCTGCGAAAATAGGGCATTTTTATAGTCCATTAAGGACAGTACAGTTGTTAAAGCTGAGATTTAAAACAATCCAACAACTCAAGTCTTTTCAATGAATGGCTTATTTAATGACCAGGGACCCAGGAGAGGAGATAGAGTGATATTTGATTAAATGTTCATATGCTAAAGGCTATATCCGCAAGTGAGAGCCAGGAGCTTTTGTCTTAATCTCCCTGCAGCATTCTGCTTCACAAATGTTAGAGCACTCAGCTCTATGGTAATAGTTATTTCCATTGCTCAGTTAGAGACCAAAGCACTGAAGAGGCTACACTCATGTCTGAATGAGACATCTTGTGTAACTAATGACCTCACAAATCCTTAGCCAATCATAGGCTAGTGGCAGACACTGAATTCTTCAGGGGGGTTTAAGCCAGAGCCCATCGTGTGTGTGTGTGTGTGTGTGTGTGTGTGTGTGTGTGTGTGTGTGTTGGTGGTGGTGGTATTGTTTTCATGTTAAAGTCAGATTTTGGGGGTATAATTTACATGCAGCAACCCATTCTTTTTAATATACAGTTCTATGAGTTTTGACCAAAACATAGTCACAAAATCAACACCACAATCAGAATAAAAACATTTTGTTCAATCCAAAATTCCTTATGCCATTGCAAGTCAATCCTTTCCCCAACCCCAGCCAAACATGGGTCTGCTTCCTGATCCTACACTGTAGCCTTTTCCAGAATGTCACACAAATGGAACTACATACAGTAAGCAAGTACCCTTTGGAGTCACACAGGATATCCCTTTTTGAGTCTGGCCTCTTTTACATGAGATAATGAATTTATTTGGGATTCATCCAATAGTTCTGTTTGTCCTTTACTATTGCTGAATATTCCGTTGATAGATATATTAGCTTATTTATCCATTCACTTGCTGAAGGACATTTGTGTTTTTTCCAGTTCTGGGCAGTTATGATTAAAGCTTTTAGAAATATTAGCCTACAGGCTTTTGTGTGAACAGAGGTTTTCATATCTCTTGGGTAAATACCTAGCTAGAAAATTCCTGGCTTGTATGGTACGTATATGTTTAACTTTGTAAGAAACTACCTGTTTTCCAGAGTGGCTATACTAGCAAAGCAAGAAGTTCTAGTTGTTCTACATCTTTGCCAGGACTTGGTATTAACCATTTTTGTTTCTTTTGCCTGATTTTTAGCCATCTTAATAAGTATATGGTGGTATCTCATTGTGTTGTGTGTGTTTGTTTTTTGTTGTTGTTGCTGTTGTTTTACTATTTTGTTGTTGGTAATCCTCACCTGAGGATATTTTTTTCTATTGCTTTTCAGAGAGTGGAAGGGGCTAGAGAGAAAAACATTGATTGGTTGCCTCCCACATGCTAACTGACCAGGGACAGGGAGCAAACCCACAACCCAGGTATGTGCCCTTGACTGGGAATCAAACCCAAGACCCTTCAGTGCATGGACTGATGGTCTAACACTAAGCCCATTGGCCAAGGCTTTTTTAACTTTTGATTTTGAAATACTTTAGACCCACTTGGAAGTTGTGAAAATAGTAGAGAGCTCCTATGTATCCTTTCCCCATGGCCCCCTTTTATCTTACATAACAACAACACAATGATCAAAACTTGACATTGTACAATTTCATTAGCAAAACTACAGACCTTGTTCAGATTTCACTAATTTTACATGTGTTCTTGTCTTTTTGCCTCCAATTCATAAGGGTCACTAGACACTGATCCAATCCTCTGGCTCCCAAAATACCAACTCAGTATGACTCCAAAACATGCACATTTTCCCCCAATACCAGTGCTCAAGGCTCTAACAGGCGTCTTCAAACTACGGCCCGCGGGCCACATGCGGTCCGCAGAGGAGTCTGATCCAGCCCACCAGGTTTTTTGGGCAGTGAGCGCAGCCGAGGTGTTACAGTAGGAATTAGTAGTTAATATAGTCCAGCCCTCCAGCTCTCTGAGGGACCGTGATCTGGCCCCCACTTTAAAAAGTTTGAGGACGCCTGCTCTAAAAGCATCTTCTTTGCTTCTTCTCTACCATCCATCCCAAATCAAAACTCCCCTTCCCAGTCAGTTCAGTTAGGAAATGGACTTAGTTGGGAAAGACACGGAGGCTTCTCCCACTCAAGAGGTTGAAATAATAGTTCAAGACCAGATAGAGGAGTTAAAATATCTCACAAGAACTCATTCACCCAAAAGGTATCACAGTAATTTACTTAAAGGATGTCACTAAAAATACCTTAAACACATAGTCCTAAATTTATGAGATCAGTATTAAACTTTACATGAACCTCAAAATTAATCCACTTAAGCATATACTATTTTTATTGCATATAAGATACTTAGCACAAATATTTCCAACTACAACTTCACATCAGAAACTGGAACTGGATTATTCTTCAGTGGGGGAATGCTTCCAAAGAGCTATAGGAGCTACTTACAAAAGGACCCAGAGGAAACGTTACACCCCTTATATTTTTAAACCCATGAAAAATAACTATGAACCAAAACTAAGTCTGAAATCTCATTTCAATTCCAACTGTCCTCCTACCCAAGGGAAGGAAACACATGTTGGGTTCAAAAGACCCAAACAAGAAATCAAAAAGCAGCTTATGAGCACTAAACAAAAAATATTTTATATAATTTAACTACAAGTGCAAAATTGCACTTCACTGCAGTTATGCCTCTGCCCACAGGCCATTGTGTTCTGTCATAAGTATTTCTAAATGAAGCAGTCTCAGCAAAATGCCCATTTTTCAAGCTAAAATAAGAACAGGTTAAGAGAAACTAACGTTTTAGTGATTACCTACTTACCATGGATATCAAACTTTGATACAGTAAGCATTTGAGATTGCTAATCCTATATAATAAAGAGATAATATGCAAATTGACCCTCACACCCTAATGTCACAAGATGGCTGTCTCCACATCACCACAAGATGGCCACCATAAGATGGCCATCCCACATTGTCACAAGATGGCTGGCAGGGGTGAGCAGTTGGGAGGGGACCAGGCTTGCAGGGGAGGGCAATTGGGGGTGAACAGTCCTGCAGGAGAGGGCAGTTGGGGGCAATCAAGCCTGAAGAAGAGGGCAGTTAGGGGTGACCAGGCAGGCAGAGTAAGTTGGGGGAGACTGGGCCTACAGGGAACAGCATTTGGGGGGGGACCCAGGCCTGCAGAGGAAGGCAGTTAGGGGTGACCAGGCTGGCAGGAGAGAGCAGTTAGGGGTGCCTAGGCCTGCAGGGGAGGACAGTTAAGGACAACTGGGATGGCAAGAGAGCAGTAAGGCATCAATCAGACTGGCAGGGAAGTGGTTAGGGAGTGATCAGAATGGCAGGCAGAAGCGGTTAGGGGCAATCAGTCGGGCAGGTGAGTGGTTAAGAGCCAGCAGTCCCGGATTGTGAGAGGATTGCCCTATTGCTGATATAGGCCCAATCCTCCTTTGAGGAAGCTGGTCTCTCAGCCCTTTCTCCTCAAAAACCTTGGCTGATTTTGACCTGGGCACCTCAAAGATTTAGAAGATCCCTCCGTCCATGAGAGCCTCACACACCATCTCAGAGCAAAGAAGGAGCTATTTGAGGCACTCAGATCCGTGAGATGTCTGGAAACAGGCAGAACAATGAATTTGACTTACATGCTGGCTTTCGTACACCATCTGCTATGCTCCCACTTCACTGTTCTTGAAATTCAGAGAATCCACAACTCCTGCAGTCACGGGAGCTTTGCCTGGAACAAAAAAGATAAGAAATAAGGAAGAGGGCACCTGGAAGGAACCAAAGGGTCTACCGGGGAAAGTCTCTCTTCTAGAATTAATCTTAACATTTAAAAGAATAAAAAGCCCCTGGAGTTAAGAAAAAAATCTCTACCTCAGTGTAAGCCATTGTTCATCTTTAGCCACAACTATTAGTAATTTAAAAGTTTGTACAGGAAACCATTATTTACAAAGAGCTTTCACATGCATTTTCTCATTGAGCCATAAGACCTTGAAAATAGGCAAGTATTATTTAAAAATACAGCAGCTGGCCTGGCCGGTGTGACTCCAGTGGTTGAACACTGACCTATGAACCAGGGGATCATAACACAGTTCAATTCCCAATCAGGGCACATGCCCAGTTTGTGGGCTTGATCCCTAGTAGGGGTCAGTCAATGATTCTCTCTCATCATTGATGGTTCCATCTCTCTCTCCCTCTCCCTTCCTCTCTCTGAAAGCAATAAAAAAAAAAACCACATTTTTCAAAATTAAAAATAAATAAATAAATAAGCAGCATCTGAACTTCCTAAAGTTACAGAACTTTCCCATGACCATTCAGCTGGCAAGTATCAAAGGAGGGATTAGAACCACCTCTATGACTCCTCATTCTAAATTCTTCTATGGCACGAAATGAGATAATGGGTTCAACTTGGAAAGCAATCTTATTTCTTCTTGTGGTAGACTTACTTTCTTAGCTAACAGATATAGAAATGGCTTTGCCTGCTGAATGACACAGATGCTGTGTGATTGGATTAAATGTTCATTTGCCAGAGACAACCAAAAGGCAGAAAATCCACACCAAGATAGTTAAGGAACACATGCATCTTTTTCCACATACTCTCCTTTTCTCTTTAAGTCATTGTTATATTGCTGGGTGTGTTTTTTTAAACTTGGAAATAACTTCAAGCTAATAGAAAAGTTGTAGAATAATGACTAGTTCAAAGAACACCATATATTCTTTACCCAAACTCACCTCCTATAACATTTAACCCATATACTTAATAATTCACTGTTTGTCTACAGATACATTCACTCAACATTTTTTTTTCTGAGCCACATGGTGATAATCCCTAGTGGGCTTGATCCCTAGTAGGGGTCAGTCAATGATTCTCTCTCATCATTGATGGTTCCATCTCTCTCTCCCTCTCCCTTCCTCTCTCTGAAAGCAATAAAAACAAAACAAAACACATTTTTCAAAATTAAAAATAAATAAATAAATAAGCAGAATACTTAAATAGCTATAATGTTATCAATCTTAGATTTAATACTTTCATCATTTAATACTCCAGGTATGTATACACAGTCCAGGACCCTCCTTGGCAAGGTTAATTTTGATCAGCCTGCCAAGGTTTTGTCTAATTTCTTCAATGGGAAATTACTATGTTTTCTCTTGCAACTAATAAGTTACATCTAAATAAAAAGTGAATTTATTTCTTATAAATAGCAGAATACTTAAATAGCTATAATGTTATCAATCTTAGATTTAATACTTTCATCTACCACCATTTCCAATTAACCAGACGCACTGGAGCATATTTTCCTCCAACTAAGGATCCAGTTCAGGGTCAAGTCTGACACTAATTGCCATTAATCTGAAGCACACAGCTTTCCTTTGTCTTTTATTACACTGACACTTTAAAAAAATATAGCTCTCCCCCTTATTTATATGAATAAAACATTTCGTTTTTATTTGTCTGACATTTCCTCATGACTCAATTCGGGGCATGCATTATCAGCCAAAAAATACTGAGGCGATGGTTTCCTCTCCAGGTATGTATACACAGTCCAGGACCCTCCTTGGCAAGGTTAATTTTGATCAGCCTGCCAAGGTTTTGTCTAATTTCTTCAATGGGAAATTACTATGTTTTCGCTTGCAACTAATAAGTTACCTGCGGGGAGGTACTTTGAGACCATGAAAATACCTTGTCCCTTGGCAAAATTTTCTCCTAGATTTAGCATCCATTGGTGATCTAAACTGGATTGTTATTGCCACAACATGCTGATCGCTCCAATGCCAGCATTCCCTCCACATTGTCAGTCAGTACTCAGCGTTGTACATTATTTATCTATTTATCTACTTATGATCAATACAGACGCGTGAAGTCCTACTTGTTCGATGGTTTATAATTCATCACTGACTTAATTATTCTGGTGCTCAAACTGTCTCAGATTTAGCCAATGGGAGGCCCTTTATCTTTGTGACATGCCTCATCATTTTTTTTTTCTTACTCTTATATCCTTACTTGCTGACATTACAAAAAAAAAAAAAAAAAAAAAGGTCTGGCTCATCTTGTACCTATCCCATCTCTTCTTTGATGCAGTCATTTCTCCAAAAAGTCCCAATGCTATTAGAGACAAAGATCTAACATAACACAGTTTTAAAGGCATTGTCTGCTTGCATTGACTGCTTTTCATTTTAAATATGAGTCATATTTTCCTGCTTTTTGTATGCTTTCCTTCCATTATAAGGTAGACAATTAGAAGGTATTCAGTTTAATTCCATTGGAATTAAATTATTGGCAGATCCTCTTAATCCTGTCAGCCTTGGTTTTATACCTGCTTAAGACAGCTATGTCTATTTCAGCGATGTCCATGGTTCTAGCATAGGGTCCTACTCTAAGATATGGCCCTTACTCCTAAGATGTGGTCTTTCTGGTGTCTCAGTAGAATGGCTAAGGTGCTCAGTGTGGTCTCTCCCCCTCAATAGGCCAGAAGTCTCCTTTTGTCTCAGGTACATGACCTCTGGTATGGCCATTCTCTTCTAAACCTATAGAGCTGCTCTCTGCTGATCTCACCTAATGTATGTACACATTCTGTGCTCCCCTAACACAGCTCCCTCCTCCCCAGGGCCCTGCCATACACATCCCAGCCTCTTGGGTAGCTCCATGAGTCCAGGACAAAGGCTCTAGAGTAGGGGTGTCGAACTCAATCAGAGAAGGGGCCAAAATCTAAAATCCAGCCTAAATCGCGGGCCGAATGGTTTACTGAACAGTCATAAACTGTCATTGTGATGGAAACGCAGCGGAGTGCAGTGATGACAGCGCGGTGCGGGCCACATTGCAAGGCCTGGCGGGATGGATTTGGCCCGCGGGCCTTGTGTTTGACACATGTGCTCTAGAGAACAGCAAGGCAGATGAGGGCCTCGCCTCACCTGATTCTCTTCTCTCAAGGATTACAGACAAAACCGGTTTGGCTCAGTAGACAGAGCATCAGCCTGTGGACTGAAAGGTCCTAGGTTCGATTCCGGTCAAGGGCATGTACATTGATTACAGACACATCCCCAGTGAGGGGTGTGCAGGAAGCAGCTGATCAATGTTTCTTTCTCATTGATGCTTCTAGCTCTCTACCTCTTTCCCTTCCTCTCTGTAAAAAAATCAATAATAAATATATATATATATATGTACATATATCACAGTCCTGGCTGCCTGTTGCCCAATGACAAATAATAACGGCCCCATATGGTGTCCAGTTTTCTAGTTTCCCACAGGAGGGCAAGTCTAGCACCAGATTCCCCGCCTCCTTGCTGCCTTCAGCATTAGTGATGCTTGAGGGCCGTGGGGCTGACTATTGGAGATGCTAAGAATCAAACACTTTGAGCATATTGTAAATGCTCGTTATTTAAGCATTTCAAAGACACATTCTTGGAAAAGTATGTTTTACTTTTATTGCAGTGCTGTGGCAAGAGAAACACTCTCTAGCTACCAGGCAATTCCAAACAAAATGACCAGAAAATGTCTCTCTTCCTCACAAAGCTGATACTCCCTTCGGGTAGGCAGCTGTGTGTCACCCCAACACACATTTCCATTTATTTCTATTACTCTTCTTCCAAATGGCATAACAAAACACAATAGTCTATCCAAAGAAATGAAAGTTAGTTGCTAGTCTTCATTTTTCTTGTTTATGTGCATGTACTTAGGGGTGGGGAGAAAATTCCTTTTCATATAAATTATTTTCTGATGTATTTCCATTTCTACTTCTAACCACAGTAAGAAAATAATTGGGGGTGGGGGGAATGCAGTCAAAAAGAAAACTGGCAATCCCGGACACAAAGTTAATCAAGAGGAAATTGGCTAACAAGAACACACTGTGAGAAAAGATAACTTTGCAATTACAGGAAAATGGAGAGCAGTGGTTCCACTAGGGACACAAGTCTGCTGGCATGTGCCCCTAATGCGCACACACAAGCAGCGTCCCCACAGTGTGCCAGGCAGAAATGTGGAGCGACCTCCTTCTACTTCCCGAGCAGATTTTCTCCATAACAGAGATGGCCCTCGCTGGTGTGGCTCAGTGGATAGACTGTTGCCCTGCAGACTGTAGAGCCCCCAGTTCAATTTCAGTCAAGGGACATCCCCAGGTTGCAGGCTGGATTTCCAGTAGGGGGTGTGCAGGAAACAGCCAATCAATGATTCTCTCTCACTGATGTTTCTATCCCTCTCCCTTCCTCTCTGAAATCAATAAAAAATATTTTTTTAATTCACATTGCAGCCACCTAATCCATTTCCACAAAGGGAATCAAAGCATGGCAAGTTATTCCTTTCTTTGGTTTTACTTCAAGTCCTCTAGAACTTAAAGGCGATCAGCTGATGCAAACGAAGTGTCTATTTTTGTCCCTTGGCCCTCCTCGCTGTCCCTATCCTAAAGGGACTCTTGGATCCGTCTTCCTACAGGACTCAGGGTCTCCATGTGGAGGCTGTTGAACTCCACAATGTCAGCACAATAGTACAAAGTCCTCCGTGGTTCCTCATTTCCCAGGAATATAATCAGAGCCTCTGGGCTTGAAAAACATCTGCTCCCTGCTGAATTCTCTACTTCACCTTATAGCAGTTTCTGCCCCATCATTAGTAAATTCCTTGTAGACATTTCTGCCCTTTCTTCTCTTGACTAACTCACTGAGGCTTGACACCCTCTGGGGAATATTCCACTGAAAGCTGGGTTAGTGTCTCAACCTTCATATTCTCACAGTTCCTAAGCTCAC